CTACCCTTGCCCGGCAGTCGCACTTGCGACCACTCGGCCAACGAGGCAGTCAACAAAAATAGCACTGTCTTAAAAGTATCGAGGTTTAATAATAATAAAAATACGTTAAATATTTTTTTAATTAAATATATTTATCTCATCTGAAATTACAACATGGTAGACATTTTTAGAAGAAAAATCATGTTTTTTGACAGGTTCAGACATATTTAAAAGTGGATATTTAGTTATATTTTTCACACTACAAGGGTGATACAAAAATTGAAAAATATATATTTATATAACTTTTCATCAATACTATTGAAACCTTCTACGTTCTAGCTACATTTATTCTTATACAAGTGTGGCTAACAAAACAATTGCTTAATATCTACAACCACTTTTCTTAAATGAAAAAAAAAAATATAAACTTAAATAAGATATAGTTCGATCATTAAGGGGGAAATATATCGAGGGGTAACGGGCTATTTGGTTTAAGCGACATTTTGGGCGATATTGAGTTATATATATATTCGGAATCAGCGAATTTTTCTCCGTCGATTGATGCCGGTTTCATTAAAATCGGAGCACTTTTTTGGCGTTTCAAACAATTCTATTTTCGTGTTGTTTCCAAAGTGACAGTGTATTAAACGACATGGATTTCGCATTTTTTTTTAAATTATGTACTTGATAATTTCAATGCAATTTACCCCGTTCAAATAACTGCAGAAGCGTTTTTGTTATGAATTTTTTTTCGAAATTTCAAACTTTAAAAGGCTCTCCTGTAAAGTTGCAAAAATGTCGCTTAAACCAAATAGCCCGTTACCCCTCGATATAGGGGTTGCCTGGAAAACGTTCCGGGAGTTTTGAAAATTGATTTTAGATTTTGATGCGCTCTTTCCAATTTCCATTACGCACCATCGTATATGCGGAAAGCTGTCTAGACATAAATTGTATAAAATTGTGAGTAGTAAAATTTTATAGGTAACGTTTTCACAGGAAATGAGATATTGCAAAAAACTGTTTTTGGGTGCCATTTTCCTAAGATGGCGGCGCGTGCGGCGCACGTACGAGGGTGCAAAATGGAAATCGGAAAGAGCACATCAAACAAAATTGTCAATTGTCAAAAGTTTTGGAAAACAATCCAGGTAGAACTACCAATTACTGAACTAACCTACTTAATTTACTTTTAGATGTTTGATTTGACTAAAATGTAATAATTAATTTAAGACAGTTACTCGTACTCGTACATACGTTCTTTTTTAATTTTTAACTAAGGTTTTCTTGCATGCACTTAGAAACACACACACACACATATCATACTCAGACCAGAATCAAAAATTTATCTCGAAGACAATACATTGTATTTCATTCTTGAAAATAACTAATATACTTCTTAAAAACTAGTGTTGTAAATGACTGCTAGCATATAAAACAAGAAAGACCGAAAATAATAATTATCCTATTACATATTTAAAAAAAATATTTTATTATTGTTTTATCTTTTTTATTTATTTTTTTAAAACTTATCGTCGTTTTTTTTTCTTATGAAATAAAAATAATAGCTTAATAATTTAGAAACGTAAAATCTTTTTAGATTTAATCTTAATAAGTTATTTGCTTTCACATATTTCAAAACCTTCGTTAAGATAGCCACACTTTGAAAAGAAAAAGTCTAGAAACACTTACTTAGCACAACATTGTCTTAATCTTAAAACACTAACGTAAATCTTCACGTGGGTACGGGTAAGTTCTTGGCAACGAGCAGTAGGACCTGTTCAGTGCTGAAGCACCAGTTGGCGATGTCTTTGGAGACCTTACACCAGGCCTCGCCGTGGTGAGGTTCAGCGGCTTTGCAGCGGGACTTCACGTCCTCTTGTTGCTGTTCGTTCCCGTGCAATAACTCGAACTTGTAGAAATAAGCCCAAGCGTCACCTAGGTCCGGATCGATTTTGACCTGTAAAAGATTTTGAAGTTAGTTTTGATAAAAGTTAAAGGATTCAGATTTGTTGTCTTATTTAAATGAAAATATTATAGTGAGTTGTTATGTTGCATAGCCGAACAATAAGTCTCGTGGTCGATTTGCGGGCGGGGAAAAGTATAATGAAAATTTTCAGTACTGTATTGCAATAGACTGTCAAATAACAGTAGAAACTAGCTATTTTATTTTTAACCACTAAATTGTTAAGTGCATACTATAAATTAGGCTCTTTTGTACCATTAGTAAGCAAATAATACAGAATTTGACAACAATTCAAATTCAATACTTTTTTCGAACTGTCAAAAACGACAGTTTTCTATGAATTTTGTACGAGATTGTGTATTGTGACGTCACGTTTTAATTCTTAAAAATTTGTTGGAGAAATACTAAAATAAAGCTGGTCATAAAATCAATTCATAAAACTGTATTTTTTAAATATTTTAGTATATTCAGCAGTCGTCAAAGTACCCAATACTTTTGACATTTTATAAAGGTGTGTAATGTCCTGATCTCAGCTAACTAACCCTTATAGAGGATGATTAGCATGATATTACATATAGAGGTATAATGTTCAGTAAGATATATAACTGCCTCGTTGGCCGAGTGCTCGAAAGTGCGACTGCTAGGCAAGATGTCTCGGGTTTATTTCTCGGGGCAGGCAAAGTATTACTAGGTTTTTACAAAATTCTCAATAGTAGCACTGAGTCTGGAATTGTGCCCGGTATATGGCAATAGGCTCACCCCCTAATACATGAGACTTAGAACATAAATAGTCAAAAGTGGGTGTTACATTGTACAATGGCATTACGGGACGTATTTTTTTTAAAGGGACTAGCCCGCCACAACTTTCCAAAACCGCTGCAACTCCTGTAAGCCAGGATCTACAGTAGAGACAACCCTGAAAACACCGGAACACTGAAGTCTAGCACATTGCCGGATTGCATCCGATTGGATCCTCCGGCATATTGTATTGGCATGTGAACCTCTGCCTACCCCTTCGATGATAAAGATGTACCGTAAGATAAATAGGCATACCGTCCTGTTGAACCACTCCCGGCACTTGTTCAGTTTCCGCTCCGTCCAGAACAGCTGCGACACGGCCAGCAGCACGTGCGCGTCGTGCTCGCACTTCTTCAGCGCGTCCACCTGGACACCATACCGAGCTCATGACACTCGTACAATTATGATTTATATAATAGTGGAAAATTTAACCATTTTTTTTGATAAATTACGACGTTTTAAGTCAAGACACGTAATCGAATAGACCGTGCTCTGAGTCGCACGCCTTAACTGAGGGCTTAGGACGAATTCCTTTACGTTTAAAGTAATCGAGACGAGACGACGCGCGGCATTCGGTGCTCTGATTGGTTGGTTCATTGGCACCGGCCAATCACAGCGCCGAACGCGTACTCGTTACGATTACATTAAACGCAAAAGAAACTCGTACTAAGGCCCGAAGCGGTCACCGGTGATCGCTGTCCATTTACTCCATTATAGACCTTATTTCCGATGTTTTGAGACTACTTTTGTATGAAGTAATTTAGGGGATGATATATCAACGTATTAAATCACGATTGACGGTTGCGCAATTTATTAGAACTACTATCTGTAACAAGCTATGACGTCAAATGCCAAAAAACAATGAAATCTTTTTTATTTATAACTAGCCTCTGCCCGCGACTTCGTATGCGCAATCCCGTTTTCTCCCGTTTCCATAGTATTTTCAGGATTTATTTCTGTCAAAGAACCTTCTCCTAACAATACCAAACACAATAAAAAAAAATCGGCCAAATCGATCTAGCCGTTCTCAAGTTATGGCGTGACAACGGGAAACGGGTTTCACTTTTATATAATATAGATATAGATATTATTTATAGTAGTTTGAATGAAAATTGAATATTAACTTACACTCTTAGTCTTCCTCTGTGGTCGAGACTCCATGAATATGGCCTCTGCCCACAGTCGGCCGGCGTTAGGACACTCCTGCAGTGCTTTTGCCATCACTGCGTTGGCTATCTCTGCACTGCCGTTTCTTCTCTCCAGTCTTACACTCTCTAACCTGCATTGGAAAAGAAAACCTTTAAGAAATATATCGAATATGAATAAAGCCTTTAGTTGACTGCCGGCGGTGTCTGTCTTCCATAGACATTCGCTACACCATAGGCGTCACAATTATGTAAGTTTAATATTAGGAAAGACTATTATTAGGATATACTTTTGTAGACTATTATTTATTTTACATACATACATAACATCACACCTTTTATCGCCAAAGGGGTAGGCAGAGGTGCACATTATGCCACTGTACAATGTAACACCCACTTTTCACCATTTATGTTATGAGTCCCAGGTAATAGGCCATATACCGGGCAAAATTCCAG